TCTAAATAATCTTGAAGAGACTAAATCAATTGGTGTAGATGGAATCCACCCACGTGTATTACGTAACTATGCAGCAGCATTTGCAATACCATTCAACTCTATTTTTAGACAATCTTTATTGTCTGGCTCTGTACCTGAATATTGGAAAAAATCAAACATTACTCCCATCTTTAAGAAAGGGAGCAAGCTTAAGGCCTACAATTATCGACCGGTCTCCCTCACCTCAATACCGTGCAAAGTAATGGAAAAAATAATTCACAAACATATTATGGCGCACTGTGTGGAAAACAATCTAATCTCCAAGCATCAGCATGGTTTTATTCGTAAAAAGGGATGTCTGACTAACCTCCTCGAAGCTCGCGACATACTTACCGAGGCTATGCATCAAGGTTACAGTGCTGATATTATCTACACAGATTTTGCTAAGGCATTCGATAAAGTCCCGCACAAACATCTTCTACATAAACTGAAAGCATACGGCATTCACAAAAAGCTACTACTTTGGATTAAAATGTGGCTAAAAGATCGTAAGCAACGTGTTGTCTTGGGAGAACACGTTTCTGAGTGGAAGAACGTCACAAGTGGAGTTCTGCAGGGTTCTGTCTTAGGGCCACTGCTTTTTATTTTGTTTATTAATGACCTTCCTGATAGTATCGTTCACAAGATAATGCTATACGCTGATGACAGCAAAATTATTAGGATCATAAAGTCGGCATCGGATAACACAACGCTTCAGGCAGATATTGATAACGCGGTTACATGGTCAAACACTTGGCTCATGCACTTTAACATTGATAAATGTAAAGTGATGCATGCAGGTCGTTCTAATAAACGTTTATCACATGACTACTCTATGGAAACCGCTGATGGCATGCGCCACACTATTGCAACTACAACTATTGAATGTGACCTTGGAGTTTTCATATCAAACGATCTGAAAGTCAGAGCACAAGTTGAAAAAGCAGCATCCGCAGCCAATCGCATGTTAGGAAAGCTAAAAAATGTTTTCCGCAGTAGAAACTTAAACTTGTGGCGCACACTCTATATATCTTATGTCCGGCCACATCTAGAATTCGCCATTCAAGCCTGGTCCCCGTATCTCGAAACAGACATTAAGTTACTTGAGGATGTTCAAGACCGCGTCACTAAGACAATATCATCCATCAGCCATTTTGATAAAATAAAGCGTCTGCAGGTACTCAAACTAACCACCCTCAAAGAACGTCGTTTGCGTGGTGATATAATCGAACAATTCAAGATTTTCAACAACTATGACGAAGTTCAATTTATGGTCCCACAGCACCGACTAATTGGGCGTGAGGTGTACAACCTACGCGACCATGACAAGCAGCTTGATCGTCAATTCGTAAGAGGATGTGAGGAGAGATCAAACTTTTTCACAAACCGAGTTGCGGTCCATTGGAATTCTCTCACACAGCACGCGGTAAACGCTCCATCTTTAAATCCATTTAAAGATCTGATTTCGATGCGATAAACTGTTAAATCAGCATAGAGACTCCTAGAAAAGTCTCTTCATCAAATAAATAATTTAACATTTAAATATATACATATGTATATGTATATATTTTTTAATTATTGTTACAGCATTATTGCGGTTTAAATGTATAAATTTGATTACTGAATATATCAAACTCAAACTCATATATATATATATATATTATATATATATATATATATATATATATATATATATATATATATATATATGAATATATATATATATATATATATATATATATATATATATATATATATATATATATATATGAATATATATATATATATATATATATATATATATATATTTATATATATATATATATATATATATATATATATATATATATATAATATATATATATATATATATATATATATATATATATATATATATATATATATATATATATATATATATATATATATATATATATATATATATATATATATATATATATATATATATATATATATATATATATATATATATATGAAGACTATATATATAATATATATATATATATATATATATATATATATATATATATATATATATATATATATATATATATATATATATATATATATATATATATAATATGATAATAAATATATATATATATATTATTATTATTATTAATATTATAAATATATTTCATACAACAGGCAGATACAATTTAGGTGCCAGGTCCATAGTTTTTACAAGAAAAATATTATTTTAAACTTTGATTAAATGAACGCATGGAATTATTCACAAAGGAACAAGCCATCAACTGTTTACAAAAAGCATGTCTGTAGTTTGAAATAATTGTATGAAAACATGGTAATCTGTGCTCTAAAAGCATGAAAGATATCATACTTGTTGTAGTCAAAAAAATATTTTACCACATTTGTTGTAGCAATACTGAAGGCGTGCCATTGTTTTATTATAATTTTGCCACAGAGGAGCACCATATAAACAATTTAACCTTTACTCTGGTAGAGCATAAGTGAAATAAAATCTTCTAATAATACACAAATATATTATTATGGAAGAATTAAAATCATTATGCAATTTAATTTACTACTGAATGTCAGAAAAAATATTAAAACTAAAAATTAAAATTAAAAGAAACAAAATGCAGCAATCGTTTTAGTTATTAAGCATTATCACACTATGGTCCTAAACTTTGGAATGTACTTCCATGTATCATTTGTGACAAAAAAAAAACACAACTATTTATAAGAGAAAACTGAAATCTTATGTAATGATGAATGGTGAATTATTCCACCAGAAAACTTTTGAATGTTAAATTAGAATCTCTTGGGCATTAATATTAAAATTTATACTGATGTAATAATTAGTTGCACAGCTGAGCAAGTGTTTTGCCAAATTTATACACTATTTTGACAAAACACAGTAGCTGTAGGTAAATATATGTAGTTTATATATATATATATATATATATATATATATATATATATATATATATATATATATATATATATATATATATTATATATATATATATATATATATATATATATATATATATATTATATATATATATATATATATATATATATATATTATATATATATATATATATATATATATATATATATATATATATATATATATATATATATATATATATATATATATATATATATATATATATATATATATATATATAATATGTTATATAATTATTTTCATTTTTTTCCAGATGTTTGCAAAATGGTTTATTGTGTTGTGTCAAAAGATCAAAAATCAATACTAATGTTGATTGATTTTTTGTTCTTTGACACAAAAACTTGAAATTTGGTAGAAATATTTTGTTCTTTGACATTCTGAGAAAGAAAATGTTTTTTCAATGATTGGATTTCACATGACTAATATAAGGCAATTTTTATTAACGGTGAGTAAAATTCCAAGTTATTTTTACTTTTCATGATGCGTATAAGCAAATGCAGTATAATGTATTTAAGTTTGATGTTTTTGAACATTTAACTATTATGAATATTAAGTGTTAGATTTTTTTCACTAGCTTCAAAATTCTAAAATTACTTTACTGTTTATGATATTTATTATATTGCCAATAAAAATATAAAACTAAAATTTATTTAAAAAAATCATTTTTTCAAATCTTTGTAAGTTTTTTTGTTTGTTTAAAAAATTCTGAGAATGACAAATAAATTAGTATTAATAAAATAATATTACTAATATTTTGCTTAATATTTTTTTAGTTTAACATTGTATCTAGTAAATTTATTTCTTCAACTGCTGTTCTATGCAGTCAAGTCTAACAAAATCAAAAATCTAATTGATATATTTTATTGGAAATTCTTGTGTAAACACATAAATATATCTTTAATTCTAGATGTATCAAAGAGTCAAAATACATTTAAACTTTATTAGTTTTTAATTCATTGACACAACTAAATAGATATATATTGATGGCATTATGTGCAGAAGTGTTAAGTACAACATTTGGTCAAATTGAGCTAAGTTCACAAAAACTGTTGTATTTTTCAAAGATTATTCTGTCCAAATATGGTCAGTGTATGATAAATTGTTACGAGTCTACTAATTGATATTACGAGTCTACTAATTGATATTTTATGAATAAATGTTCAAAGTGTCTTTGCCACATTTACATTTATATATATATATATTATATATATATATATATATATATATATATATATATATATATATATATATATATATTATCATCAGCATATATATGTATATATATATGTATATATATGTATGTATATGTATATATATATGTATATATATATATATATACATATATTAGGTACGTGGAAATATCCGTTTTACAGAACCGAATATTGTGCTAAAAAACTGTGCCACGCTTTTTAGATTTTTTTTTAGCTAGCGTAGGGAAGACGTATTTAGTTGAAAAACTTTTTAGAATTTGATGTCAATATAGATTATTTTCAGAAACTAGAATAGTTAAACTTTATTACTGTGAGGTTTATTATTTTACTAGAAGGATTTTTTATTGAGTTTTTTTATGTCTAAAACTTAGTTGTACTTTGGGCATAAAATTAATGTCAAAGATATGCTCATTTTTTTTTCTATACTATTCTTTTTTTTAAATTTTTCATTTATCTATGCACCTGGAAAATTTCATTGAAAAAAAAGTTGTAGCAGGGTGTCTATTTTTTGTCGCACTTTTGGTACCTAATTTTCATTTTGCTGAAGTGGTCGCGGGAGACAGAGGGGTTGAATAAACATGATTTTGATTAAATAAAATTTTCAGTTTTTTTTTAGATTAAATAAAATGGAAAGTAAAGATATTGATAAAAGTTTTTAATTTTGTTTCCTATTTATTAAAATTTAAAAAAAATTATTTGCCTTCAATGTAAAGTTATTAAATGAATTTTAATGTTTCCTTACTTTAAAGTTGAATTTTTTTAAAATGTAAATGACATATTAGTAATATTATAACATATTTTATCTTACATTGTAAGTCTCTCCAATAACAATTGCAATATGCTACTACTTGTTGTATAATGCATCTTTTTCTAAAAAAGTCTAGGTATAAACTAGCCTTTTTTTTTTATGATTAACTGTTAATTTTTTAACTGTAATAAATAGTATAAATAAAATATGGTCATATATAACTAATATATGTTAGCAACCTTATTCAACTTTTATGTATAATATATATGCATGTATATATATATATATATATATATATATATATATATATATATATATATATATATATATATATATATATATATATATATATATATATTTACTGATATATATCAGTTAGTTATTTTATTCATTCAATATTCATTAGTTTTTTTTAACTTAAGATCAATAGATTTCGTCTAGACAAATGTTTTTATTATTTTGTTAAAAAAAGTTTTTTATTTGTTTTTTAGATGATACTTTTGAGAGGTTAAGTCAGTTTTTTTTTGCGATTTTTTATTTCAATATTCAATTATATATCTTTTATCTCAATATTCAATTATATATCTTTATTATGCTATGTTTTTTGTGCAGATTTTTGTGCATTCACAAAGTTTTTTTACAGTTGTTTATTTATATATTCCTGATTGTTTCATGCTTTTTATTGAATCATCGTTTTTTTTTTTTTTTTCTATAGACAATTTAGAACAAACTATTAGTAAGTAAAGTTTGAAATATTTTAGTTATTTAGTCATTTAAACTTTTTTTTTAATTTAATTTTATAATAAGGTAAGTAATTTCAAGTTGGCTGAATTTAGGCTGCAGATTTGTAATTTTAGTAAATTTTAATAATTTCAATGGTGTAGTTTAATGATACATGCTAACTAAAGATTATTACTTAATTGATACACAAGCTCAAGGTGGTTAATTTATTGATTAAATTAACCACCTTGCTAGCTAAAGATGTTGTAACAAAAATTGTAACCTGAAATTAAGTTTATTTTAGTAAACGTTGTATTACTATTGTTATTACTTATTTCTTTTTAGTTCTTTAGCAACACTTACTTCATTAATTGGTAAGAGATTAATGTTGATTTTTATGTGTATGTATTGAGAAATATAGTCTGATTTTGTGTATTATGCAGTATTGTACTATTTATTATGTACTATGTTATTGTATATTTACTATATATGTATATTTAATATGTAATATTTACATGTACCATTTAATCTTTTGTGTCATTGTATTATTTAATCTTAAATATCCTTGTCATCTGTTGCAGCTGGTAAGGTTTCTATATTATTAATTTGAGAGATAAAGTTGTTAAATGCTCAATTCATGAAGCACATATAAATAGAGTTAGCAATCGATTGCATCAGGCTAAAATTAGAGCCAATATTTCCCAAAGACAGGCATCCAAGTGCCAAAAAATCAATGAAAAAGAAAAAAGTTAGAGCAAAAAAACTTAGAGCGTTAGCTATTCAAACTGAGTTATGATGAAATTATAGATTCATACAAAAATTTGTCTAATGACCAACTTTATTATTTAGAAGATGTCATGTATAGAAGAATTGTAGGCAAAAAACTATATCATGAATGATATGATCCTAAACATCCAAGCCTGTTTTGTATAATGGCATAGTAGAAAAAGTATTTAGTTGAAAAATTGACTTTGCACTATTTCTTACTGTTATTTTAGAAGAGTTACAATTTTATTAACTTTATATTACATTAATAAAACACTATGAAAGTACAAGTTTGAAATTTAAGCTAAAAAAGTACTACAAATGTATTGCTGAAAAATACTACCAGTGTTGTGACTAGCTAAAAGAATTTTCTTATTGTAATCATTCACTAAAAGCCAAGAGAAAACTATATAAGATAAAAAATAAACAAACCATTATTATTTCTTTTTAATAACATTTTATTTGTTTTTTAGTTTGAAACAGCCAAAGCACTATTTGAAAGATTTAAAAATTATTAAAGGTTGGTTAATAAAATGGATATCAAAGCTGTAGAACATTGCATGAAAAAGTTTCAGCTTGTTGCAGATATTGTTTCCAGAGTGTTGACTAGATATTATTTTGTTAAAACACTGCAAATATATAAATTTGAAATTTATAGAATAAAAAACTGCAAGTGCTGTGTGACTTGTTGAAAAAAAAAGTACAGCTAGTGTTGTGACTTGCTAAAAAAAAGTACTGCAAGTGTTGTGACTTGATAAACAAAAGTACTGCAAGTGTTGTGACTTGCTATGCATTTTTGATAGACGGCTCTGGCTTACCTTCATGTGGTGTCTATTGTTAAAAATAATTATAAAATAATTTCATTAGTAGAATTTGAAATTGTAATCATTCACTAAAAGCCAAGAAAAAACTTTATCAAATAAAGCATCATTAAAATAATCAAACATTATTTAGTGTTAATAACATTTTTTTTGTTTTTTAGTTTGAAACAGCCTAACTTTTCGTTAACCAAACTAGTATCAAGCAATATATGAATTTGAAGATTTATAATGGTTGGTAAATACCTTGTTTTGATTACCTTTTTACCACTATTGACTGATAATAGAAGTCATTCTGTATGAGAATATTTTAACCAAAAATTCTCCAATTAATCAAAAATGCTTTTTTTAAAAAAAATGATTAGTTGGGGGAAAGGGGGAGTTAGCCCCTCTCTTTTAATAGCCCCTCTTTTTTGTCCAGTATTAATTTATAGAACCTTTTTTATACAGAAAAAAACTTTGTTTTGGGACTTTAGGAAACAGTAGTTGTGTCATTTTAATTAAAAAATTTTTTTTTTTTTAGGTTGGGGGGGGGTTATTCGCCCCTCCCATACATAAACAAGACTTAAATTCGTAATAGTAACACCACATAAATACTTGTAGAACATAATTTTATATTGTATACTAATTGAATTAATTTTAGTAAAGATAAAAATATTTATGAAAACAAGTCTTATTTGATACTAGGGTGTATCAAACCATCACCACCACACCCACCTCCAACGTTAACATACGCCTCTCATATTCTCTGGTGCTTAAATATAATTTTATAACAATGCTTTTGTATATTTAAAATACTTATGTCTTGAAAAAAGACTTTTTTTGTGAAAAAAATGTTTAGTTTTATACGGGTAAGGTGGTGGTTTGGTGCCCCCTCTGTTCATCCGATACACCCGGTGGTTAAAGTTTAACAAAAATTTGTAGCCCACTCTTACACCTATCTTTTGACACCAAGATATTTGTATTTCGATAAGAATTAATAAAGTTATGACAATTAAAGTGAAGAAAAACATTTTTTTGACCACAGTTTCTTCAACAATTCCATATATCGAAAAATCGGTACTTAAACTGTCATAACTTTTGAACCGATTGTTCGTTTTTGATATTTTTTTCACCTTTAAAATACTGTATTGGTCCTCTTTCTAATGATATATAACAGTATATTATTTAAACCATTTGAAATTTTTACTCACGTACCTACATATATATGTAAGCATATATATGTAAATACATATATATATATATATATATATATATATATATATATATATATATATATATATATATATATATATAGATATATATATATATATATATATATATATATATATATATATATATATATATACATACATACATATATATATATATATATATATATATATATATATATATATATATATATATATATATATATATATATATATATATACATAAATACATATATATGTATATACATATATATATTATATATATATATATATATATATATATATATATATATATATATATATATATATATATTACATAAATATAATATATATATATAATATATATATATATATATATATATATATATATATATATATATATATATATATATATATATATATATATATATATATATATATATATATATATATATATATATATATATATATATATATATATATATATATATATATATATAAGACGTTGTCTAATAATAATAAGTTATTGACATGGGATAATGTAGTTTTGCATAATTTTGAATAAATCTTTTTTTTTAAAAAAATGCCAAGCTTGCAAGAACAAATAATAATAAAGCAAATTGTAATCAATTCACTAAAATAAATTACAATTGTTTAAATTCAATATAAAAGTATCAAGAAAATAAGGAGATCGATACTTTCGCTATGCGAAAAGTACTTTTTGAGGATGATGACTTAAAAATAAACAAAAGTCTAAATAATTGAAAGATATTATATTGTTTCATGTAAATTATTACTTATAAATGAAATTATATTAAAAAATAATCTTTAATTGAAAATTTTAATAATTTATAATATAAAGTTTTCATTTTAGAATGGCTGATAATAAAAATAAAATTTATAATAAGAAACAATGTCATCCAACTCGAGGTAAATGTATGAAATATAAAGAGGAAGTGTTACTTGAAGCTTTAAACAGTGTTATTAGTTCACCTAAAATGTCTATTAGAGCTGCTGCTAAATTTTTTAAAGTATCCCGAGCAACTTTGCAGAGCAGGATAAATGGAAAAGTTGAGATTGGTGCAAAAGCAGGAAGAAAAAGTTTAATGCCGCTTGATCTTGAAAAAAAGTTACTTGATTTTGCAGACAACAGAGCTAGGATGGGCATTGGTTTTGGAAAAGAACAATTCTTGGTATATGCTGGCACGCTTGCCAAAAAATATGGATATTCTTTTAAGAATGGCAAACCATCTAATAAATGGTGGCGACTACTTAACAATCGACATAACAAAAAAGTAACTCTTCGACAACCAGAATCAACAGCATCAGTTCGTCATCAATGCATGAATCTGATAAAGGTGGCAAATTATTTTACTGCACTTAAAGAAGTCATTAAAGACTGTCAGCCTGAAGTAATATGGAACATGGATGAGACAGGACTGCAGCTAGACTTTAAGGCGCACAAAATAGTTGCTGCAAAAGGTACAAAATATTTACACATGAGAACAAGTGGAAATCGAGAAATGATTACTTTAATTGTTTGTGTGAATGCAGCAGGAAGAGCCTTACCACCTCATGTAATTCCAAAAGGAAAGACAGTAAAATCCCTTCAAAGTTTTCAAGTTCTAGATGCCCCTGAAGGAACCAACTGGAGTCCAAGTGAATCTAGATGGACTAAACAAGGGATTGCAAAACTATGGTTTGAGCTTACATTTTTAAAAAACATTGGACCACAACGTCCACCAGTTTTAATTTTAGATGGCCACAATTCCCATAATTTCGTAGAATTAATAGATATGGCCATACAAAACCGAATTGAAATTGTTGAATTACCTGCTCATACAAACAATTGGCTTCAACCTTGTGATCGAACTGTATTTAAGCCATTCAAAGTTTCATATAATAAAGCAGCCCAGGGTATGATGTCTAATCACCCTGGGGTTATAATAAACAATTTTACAGGACTTTTAACCAAAGCCTGGAATAAAAGTATGACAAAAGCTAATATTGAATCTGGCTTTAAATCATGTGGAATCTTTCCATATAATCCTTCAATTATTCCAGCTGAAGCTTACTTGCCAAACTATGTGTATTCTGAAGACAGGTTAATGACTAATCTCTTTGATCAAATTAAAACAGTTGATAATACAACAATAGTTAAGCAGATTAAGCAAACAACAGACAGCCCAAAAGTAATTTTACCAGATATTGAGTTGGAACAACATCTAATTACCAACCCAAGATTTGCTGTAGCAAATGATCACGACTATTTAGCTGAACCAATAACCGTAGTAGAACATAGGAGTGATGATTTAGTGGAACTAAATATGAAAACTATAGAACTAAAAGCTGCAAGTAATAAAGCTACTAGTAAGTTTCAAGACAGCTTTAGGATTATGTCTTACTCTGAAATTGAACAGCCTATTGATCAGCATGAAGTTGATTTTACAGTTTTAACTCTTTTAGATCTGATTTTGCAAAAACTTTTTTGCCCCAAATTTCCCCTTTAAAAATTCATCTTATCCAGGAGATGGAGATAATGACATTTTGCCATATTCTTATCCAAATTTTACAAAGAGCAAAAAAGCTAAGAATGCAGACAAGTTTTTTGTGCTTACTTCTAAGGAAGCATACGAGTCACAGTTAAAGCAGAAGCAAAAACAAGCTCAAAATGAAAAGGAAAAAAAAATGCGTAAATTGAAAAGACTACAAAACTTAAAAATAAAGGAAGCAACGGTATTGTCAAAAGATAATCCTAGAAAAAAACCGTTGCTATAAAAATGAACCAATAAAAGTATAAAAAAGCAATGTGTAATTTGATCATGTTGTTATGAATTTTTGTTCTTAGTGTTTAAAAAAGTCTTTTATAGAGTTCACTGAATTCTTTTTTTTTTTTAATGTGAATATTATATTCTATGCAAATCTTTTAAAATAGTTTCAAAATCATTTTTGAATAGTTTTAAAATCATGTCCTGAAAACTTATTTTTTTTAGATTTAGGCATCCTTACTAAGTTTATTTGTTGATGAATGCTTAGTATTAAGTTAAGCAATCATTTTCTAACTGATGTTTAAGATCACATCAAAAAAATTATTGGTTCAATATTTAGTAATTCAATTAATTTTAAAATATTTTAAATGCCAACCCATAAAAGTATTATAAAAAGCTTGTTATTTATATTGGCTGTAATTAGGTTCATTCCGCATACGCCTGGCTGAAATTTGGTCATAGTGGCTGTATTTTGGTCAAATTTATATACTTTTTGTAATCGTTGTTTTATCAAACATTTTTTATTTAAAATAATTGCTGTAATTATATCCTAAATGCTGAAAGATTTATCTTTCTAGAAATGTATAATTTTCATATAGACCTCTTTGTTAATATGTCTGTAGAAACAATTTTGTAAAGATGCGGCTGGAATTTGGTCGCTTTACCCTAACCACTTTTTAACAGCGTGCTCAAAGTAGATGTTACGATGTTAACGTTATATTTTGTCGTCCTATTTTATAGAAATTTATATCAATATAGACTTTATTTCAAAAGTAGAGTCTCTTAAGTTTCTTATATTCTGTGATTTTTTGGCAAGTAGTAACGTTTTTAGTGATTTCATTGGTATTGAAAACTTTGCTTATGTTGTTGAAGTGAATTTTTGTTGAAAGCATGTTCATTTATTTTTGTAACTTTTAATTTAATTTTGTATAACTTTTTTATATAATTTTGTATATATTTTCTATGTATCTACCAAATTTCGTCAAAAAATATTGGCACGCTCATACCCTATTTTGTCACGCAGTGGAGGTACCAAATATTTCAAAGTTGTTTTTAATGAAAAGTTAAGAGATACAAAGTAATGCACAATTTAACAATCAAATATATTAAAAAAAAACTACCATTAGTCGAACGCAAACTTCTCAAGTTGGTTACAGTTTTCTTAAGAAATGCTTGTAATGAAATTTTGATACTTAAATGGGCTTTTTGTAGAATCATTCGTTTTTTATAAATATTTCACCATTGTAGTATTGAATTAAAGCTCTTTTAAATGATATATAATAGTTATATCTATAAATAATTTAAAACTTTTACACGCGTACCTAAATATTGCAAGTATCAATTTCAAATGTAAAACTATGTGAATGGAAGAGGTAACATAGCGGATTACCGAGCATCTTTTTGTAGAGTTAATTATCATAATTTAAATAATACAAAGAATATGTAAAAATACATATATTTTTACATCAACAAAAAATATAACTTATATTTTAACATATTAACACATTAAAATATTCATCTTTTGAC